GCATACTCTTAACATTCGCCACAAAAATATTATTATTCACGTTGTGAAACAAAGTTATCATTATTAAGGTGCGCACACACTGCTGCGGTAGACGGTACGGTAACGATACGGTAATCAATATTTTTATTTGTGCGGTAATCTTTACCGTCAGAGCTTGCACACTGATCCGGTAACGATATGAGTTACCGGACGGTAAAATATCGTACCGGAACGTTTTTCGTTACAACTAGCACACACTGCTGCGGTAATGCGGTACGATATATCTGACACACATATAGAAATTTTGAGGTTTATACCCTCTCAATTTATTTTCAAAAATATTTTTTTCCGACAGCTATGTAAAATTAATATGAATATTTTTGTTATAAACCCTTCCCTTCCCACAAGACGATAATTTCTCTGTAAATGAGCCTATAATACAAGTATTAATATATGTATAGGTACCTAATGTCTTAATTTTCTTATTATTAATTGTAAAGAAACTCTATATCAAAAAATTATAATAAATTAATAATATACGTACTATATGTTAATCAAAATGCTTTTACTTAAAGCTAAATTAAAAAGTAATTATATAACTGAGTTAAGTTCATATTTTTTCAGGTGTTAACTTTAAACTTAAGAGTGAAGTATAATGCTTATTAAATCTTAAATTATAGCTTTCTTAATGTTGACTTGACTTAACTAACTAAAGGTAATTTTTGCCCACATTTGCAGAATGGGAGTATAGGAGTATATTTGATAAAAGACTTATTATTAATATTAATTATTATGATATACCTACTGTACTTTTAATACTTAATTAATATAATTATATTAGGTACCTTAAGGTAGTACGTATAACATATAGCACTTAATGCCATAATGGTAATATAGTTGTACAAATAAACAGCTAAACAGCTTCATATTATGTATGTCATAATTATTACAAAATAGATAAACATTATTGCTATTAATATTTATCGGCCCGGTAGACGGTAATTATCGTGCATGCAACGTTAAAAAAATATCGGAGCACGATACGATATTTTTACCGTACCGGCGATTTATCGCAGCAATGTGCGCATCTACATTTAATTACATTCGTTTAGTTTTAAACTTTACCGCACAAAGATTATCGGCGCCGATTCACCGACCGATTCGACCGTTCACCGATCCGATAATATCGTACCAATGTGGTTTGCCTCATATAAAACTATGAGCTCAATTTTATCGCTACCGTTACCGTATCGTTACCGTACCGTCTACCGCAGCAATGTGTGCGTACCTTTATTATTTGAACTGTGCATCTTGCCAAGTGCTAAACTACCTTATTATTTTACTGTAAATACCATTATATTTCTCAATTTATTATTATTATGCAAGTTCTTGAACTATGTAAAATACAAAACCTCATTATTACTTTAAAACGCACTCTTATTATTTCATTTTATTATTTAATAAAGATTAACCTTGTTTCTCTCTTTTAATATTATTTTTCCCTAATTAAAGGCATACACAACCCAAAAAAAAAAAAAAAATTAAACTTGGTTTTCATACTTAGTAGTATAAAAAAAAAATATCATGAAAACAGAATGTGAAAAAAAAAATTATTCACAGAGTTAAGGCAAAATCAAAATATACCTGTGACGTCATTGCGTCGGACGTCTCCGCGCGGCACTGGCAGCCGGTCGCAACAAACCGTATGAAGAATACGTATAATAATATTCTCGTCGCCTGCCGATCGCTAATCGCCGATTATTTTTTTTTTATTTCCATAAATAGGTCCTTTAATTATTTATAAATTATAAATATAACACTATTCCTAAATACTTATAAATGATACTCAAGACTTTCTGTTGACCGAACAATTTTAACCAATTCGTCAGTATTCACTTTTCGCCTAGTCGGTATGTAGTGTACTAGTGCGTCGCGTTATATCATTTTTGTTCCGTATGTGTAGTGTGTACTGCAAAAATATAATATACTCTAATACTTAATATTCGAAGAAAATAATGCCGTATTGTAGTGTATTTGGTTGTAGTAACAATAAAGGAACGCATAGATTTCCTAATCGCGATAATTCACCTGTGCGTTTTAATAAATGGATCAATTTTTGCAAGCGTAAACTTTTTAAACCAACTAATAATTCTGTGATATGTTCTCATCATTTTAAAAGTCAAGATTTTGATGACTCAGACATTTTAAAACAAAAATTATTGGGAGACAAATACAAGTTAAGATCACCCCGCTTAAAACCAGGTACGGTATTAACAATATTTGTAATAAATAATGATAAAAATAGCGATGGTAATGCAACAACTAAAAAACCCCGTTCTGAAAGAATAAAAAATCAAGAAAAAAAAGATATGGTTGAGAGTTTAATCGCTAAAAAATCAAATATTGATTCATATGAACATAATAAAAAGGAGGTAAAGATAAGTTGTACGGAGGATAATATAAGTGATGTAGAAGAAAACGCGTCATATACAGATAATGATTTTTATGATGATCCCGATTTTGAGTGTGAAAATGAGGAGGAAGACTACACTGAAGAATTTGATAATGTTGAAAACACCGAAATAAAATATTGTTTAGTATTTATTAATTCATTACTAACACTGTTTACAGTTTGTAATATTTGTAAAAGTAAAATAATAAATAAAAAATGGTACGCAATTGGTGCAACAATATGTGTAAGATCAGAATGTAGTGAAGGTCACTCATCAAAATGGTTTTCACAGCCTGTTAATAAACAATTTTCTAAGGGTCACGTCCATATTGCTACATCTATACTTTTATCTGGTACTTTATTTGCTACGTTTAAAGTATTTTGTTCAAGTTTAAAACTTGTAATGTTTAGTAGAACAACATACGATAAAATTATGAATAAATATTCTTACCCTCTAATCGGAAAAATATGGGAGAAAAAGAGAACAGAACAGATGAATTATGTCAAGGAAAGTGGACAGTTATGGATTGCTGGAGATGGTCAGTACGATTCACCTGGTTTTTGTGCCAAATATTGTACTTATACTTTTATGGACATTAATTCTGGTTGTATAGTAGATTTTCAATTAATTCAAAAAAAATGATGCCGGGAGATTTAGAAAAAAATGCTTGTAAACAATTAATTGATAAATTAATAGGTACCGATAAATGCAAAATTGATTTATTATTAACCGACCGCCATGTAGGAATAAGGCATTTGTTGAAAACATCTTACCCAGAAATCACACATGAATTTGATTTATGGCATTTATCTAAAAGCCTAATGAAAAAATTTAAAACAATTAATAAAAAATACGAAGAAGTTTTGGCATGGAAGCAATCCATAAGTAATCATTTATGGTGGTCGGCACAAACATGCAATGGCGATTCTGAAGTATTAGTCACAAAATTTACATCTATATTGAAACATATTAAAACGTCCATGAATGGGAGAGGATGGATTAAAAAAAACTTGTGAACATCCACCATTAAGTGATGAGTACAAAAAAAAAAAACTATGGTTACTTCCTGATTCTAAACCTTATGAACTATTAAAAGAAATAATTTGCAACAAAAAGTTTTTGACAGATTTAAAGCAAACAAAAAATTATGTACACACGGGAAGATTAGAGTCTTACCATAATTAAGATTAAAATATGTTCCAAAACGTGTTCATTCTTTTTTAAAGCGATGTACATAAAATCAATAATTGCTATAATTGACCATAATTCCAATTTAAAAAAAAAAATAGGTTTAAATTATT